CCAAGAACTGCTCGTGAGAGAACAGCTCCGAAAGAACTTGTGACTGGCCCAAGGTCACACCAGCAGCTGCATGTGGAGGAGTGGGGAATCAGACCCAGTTCTCCCAGATTAGAGTCCGTGCTCCTAACCACTACGCCAAACAGGAAACAACTCAATTGGGTAAAGTAAGGCAGGGCAAATAATTGCGACAGACATTCTAGCAATGGGACCGCCTCACTGGTCCTCTCTCCCTCATTATTGATCATACTCATCACACATGCGCACACACACAAAGACACAGTACTATAATGTTCTCTCTCTGCTTTTTTGTTCTTTTTTTTTACACAATCAGCAAATTTAAGATTATCGTAAAAAGCTTTAAAACTCCTGAAAAGTAGAACCACAAACCCGTTACAAAGGTACCACCCCCAAGGTCCTGCATGCCAAGAAACTCTAAAAACAAAAACCGTTCCGTGAAAGTGGCCCAGCTCTGGAGTCACCTCCTGTACCTCGCCCTGGACACTGGCCGCCTGGGAACAGCCAGCCGCAAGGGAGAAGGCTCTGCCGGATGACTGGGCTGCTCGAGCCGTGGCAACCGGGCGTGCCGGGTGAGGGCGGGGGGTGCCGAGGCCTGGGCCTCCGCCTGCTTCCGCACCAGGGACTCCAGCAGTTCCGTCTGCCGATTCATGAGCGCAATGATCTGCTCAGTGTCCACGCGGTCCCGCTCGCGGTCCTCCAAGTCCGCCCTGGCATATTCCCCGAGGGCGGTCAGGATCCGGTCGGTGGCCGCTTGCACCCGCTTGTCAGCCGCCTGCGTGATTTCCAAGGCCAAGTCTTGCCTGTTTTTCCGCTTCCGTTTCCGGATGTTGGCGAGTCGCTCGGCGGCGTAAGACCTCGCAGGGCCCGGGGAGGGACTCTGGCAGGGGGTCACGGCCCCATCTGAAAGACACAAGACACGCAATGGAAAAGCTCAAGCCAGAACACCATTTGAGTCTCTGAGGTACCCTAGCTGAGACACGCACTCAAGGAAGCGATGGTCCGCCCTCTCTTGAAAAAGCCATCTTTAGACTCAACCGAATTGGCTAACTATCGGCCGGTGTCTAATTTGCCCTATTTGGGCAAACTCATTGAGAGGGCGGTGGCGTTACAGCTACAGAACATTCTGGAGGACGCTTCCGTCCTCGATCCCTACCAGTCCGGCTTTCGCCCTGGTCATGGGACGGAGACTGTGCTGGTCGCCTTGACTGACGATCTCCGCAGGCATCTGGATCGGGGTGGTGTGGCAGCTCTGGTGTTGTTAGATCTGTCGGCCATGTTCGATACGGTCGACCACCAGTTGCTGACCCACCGCCTCGCCGACGTGGGGATTCAGGGGCTAGCCTTGTAATGGTTTGCCTCTTTTCTCCAGTGTCAGGGACAAAGGGTGGCAATAGGGGATCAGCGGTCCCAGAGGCATCCCCTTGAGTGTGGGGTGCCTCAGGGGGCTGTGTTGTCCCCGATGTTGTTTAACATCTACATGTGCCCCCTTGCCCAGATTGCCCGGAGTTGTGGGCTTGGGTGTCATCAATATGCCGATGACACCCAGCTCTATCTGATGCTAGGCGGCCGGTCGGACTCTGTCCCGGATGACCTACATCGGTCGTTACAGGTTGTGGCTGGATGGCTCAGACTGAGCCGGTTGAAACTAAACCCGGCAAAGACAGAGGTCCTGGGCCTGAGTCGGATCGGCTCAGGGTTGGGGCTCCCTCTCCCGACCTTTGATGAGGTGCCTTTGGTACCAGCGTCGGAGGTTAGGAGTTTGGGTGTGCGCCTGGACTCCTCTTTAACGATGGAGGCCCAGGTAGCAGCCACTGCCAGGGCGGCCTTTTATCATCTTCGGCTGGCTCGGCAGCTGGTCCCCTACCTTAGCCGTGAGGACCTGGCCACGGTGATCCATGCGACGGTTACCTCAAGGTTAGACTACTGTAACGTTCTCTACATGGGGCTGCCTTTGTTGCAAATCCAGAGGCTGCAGCTAGTGCAGAATGCTGCAGCCAGGTTGTTGATGGGTCTCTCGAGGAGGGACCACATTCAGCCTGTGCTGAAAGCGCTGCACTGGCTGCCAATAGTGTACCGGATTCGCTTCAAAGTGCTGGTTCTTACCTTTAAAGCCCTTTATGACCAGGGTCCAGCCTACCTGAGGGACCGCCTTTCTCCATATGTTCCCCCAAGGGCACTAGGGTTGGGGAGTCGTCATCTCCTGGAAATTCCAGGCCCCAGGGATGTTAAACATGCGGTGACCAGAGCCAGGGCATTTTCGGTGGCGGCTCATACCTGGTGGAAGGAGCTCCCGGAAGAGATCCGGGCCCTGCAGGATCTTTCTCAGTTCCGCAGGGCCTGCAAGACGGAGCTCTTCCGCCAGGCCTTTGAGTAGGAGCCGCCGCCACTAGTACTCCACCATTGCCACCTATGCACCGTCACACCATCACCACGACTATCTGGTCCCTTTGGGGGGGTGAGGTGCCCCTGCACGAAATGGATAGATTTTGGTAAAGCTACCGTTAGGTTTAAGATCTACCCATCTTGTGTCTAATTTTGTTATTCTATTTTACTGTTTTATATTATGTGTTTTTATTGTTTTAGTTTTGGCACATTGTGCCCTAGTTAGCCGCCCTGAGCCTCAGGGGTAGGGCGGGATACAAATCTAAGGATAAATAAATAAAAATAAATAAATATATATAAGCAAGAGAGGCTCAGATTCAGATATCACAGCCAGTCATTTGAGTTTCCAACTATATATTCTTGGACCTAGCAGTAATTTCCACTAATGGATGGGAAGGGAATGGTGGTTTTCACTGATTTCCCCCTTTCCACTGCAAACCCATAATTCACCCTTCATGCCACTCCTTAGCCTCCCCAAGATTAGCATTTTGGGAACCATGCTGGGCTGAAAGAGGACAGGAGAGACCAGAAATTTCCATCACACTGGTGGAAATCCCTCTGTGGCAGGAATTACCACTGGATCCAAGCTGTGGTTTAGCCATTCTGTTTATCTTTATCATCTACCGCCTCAAGACTTTCATGATACAGGAAACTATGGAAGGCTGAGCAATACCCTTGACCATACCTAATTAGATCCTTCACCAAACCATATTTAGCTTGCAAACTGATTTTTAAAATAACAACAACAACAACAAATCACAGTTTCCAAGTCCGGTTTCTGGCTGATCACAAGCTACAGTTTGTCAGTTCAGACATCCCACCAAGTCACTGAGAAGCTTCCTTAACCATGGGGTAACGTCTGAGATGAGCCACAGCTACACAGAACAGCATTGGCTCCCCTTCGTGCTGTGTTAACTAGGCTTCTAAGTCCCACCCAACCATACTACTTGGGGCAAGCTGGAATTGCTTCCAGATCAGGCTGGGATGCTTTTGAAAACTTTTTGACTTCCGGGTCACATGTGACTAACATAAAGTGAGCTCATAAAGGCATCTGTGGACCAATGCTCCCTCTGAGCTGTGGAGTCTTGTGAGCAAAAATTCTACTTGGTGGGCTACTGGCATTACAGTTGTGAGCAGATGACGTGGCCACTGCACAAATTAGTTTGCTCTGGAGCCATCCTGCCTGAGGGAAGACAAAAATGTGTGAGCTGGAGGCTAAAAAAACCTGTGAGCTAGGCTCACACTAACTCAGCTTAGAGGGAACACTGCTGTGGACTAGTAACTTGTGCGGACTTATTTACAAGGCTACCTATTACCCTCACTACTTTCCTGGCTCATCAGCAAAGCATCCGCTGTGCACGTAGAAGGTCCCAGGTTCAACACCCAGCATCTCCAGTTAAAAGCAGCCGGGTGATGTGGAAGAGCTCTGCCTGGGACCCTGGAGAGCCCCTCTGCCACTCACAGCAGGCACCAGACTGACTCAGTATAAGTCACCTTCACTGTGCTCCATCCCCTTCTCTGCTTCTGTTCTCTCCGTCTCAGGGCAGGGCCCTGCCTGTCTTTGCTTCGGCTTCAAAGTGCCATATACAGCTCTCTGAAGCTATAAGCCACCTTCATTGTGCTCCATCCCCCTTCTCTGCTTCTGTTCTCTCCGTCTCAGGGCAGGGCCCTGCCTGTCTTTGCTTCGGCTTCAAAGTGCCATATATAACTCTCTGAAGCTGCAATGCTATGTACATCTACCTGGGGCGAAGTACTATGAACTCATTGAGATTTCCCTATCAGTCAGGAGCCACAGGATCAGGCTGCTAGCATTCGGGACACCTGGAGGTGATTTGTGAACGCCTCAGGCAACCAGACTACTGAAAAGCCTGGGTGAGTGCAGTCAGTGTTGGCACCAAACACGGGAACGGTCTGTTCGTACCTGCCGTCGAGGCGGAGCTGCCCGGTTTCTCACAAGGAGCAGAGGCCAGGAGAGGAGCTGGACTGCCGTCTTCTGCTATGCCTGAAAAGACACACATCAGTCAGCCCCAGAAGGACAGTTGTGCTCATCTGCAGCAGCAAGAAGCCCAATATTAGAACATAAGAACATAAGAGATGCCAATGTTGGATCAGGCCAAAGGCCCATCCAGTCCAACACTCTGTGTCACACAGTGGCCAAAAATACCAGGTGCCCTCAGGAGGTCCAGCAGTGGGGCCAGGACACTAGAAGCCCTCCCACTGTTGACCCCCCCAAGCACCAAGAAGACAGAGCATCACTTGCCCCAGAGCCCCTATCTATACCTTGTGGCTAATAGCCACTGATGGACCTCTGCTCCATATGCTTATCTAATTCCCTTTTGAAGCCGTCCATGCTTGTAGTCGCCACCACTTGAAAATGTCTTGAGGTTTTTCTGCATCCATATTTCCCTGCCTGGGTGTTCCTGCTGCTTTGGTGGGGGTTTTCCCTCCTGTTCCACATGTGTTTTGCTCCCTCTAGTGGCTGATCTGTTACCATATCGCTTTACGTCCAGCATATCTTCCTGCAGATTTAAACTAAAGGTTTTTATGCAAGACATCAATCTATGTAATATTGAATCAACCACTAGAGGGAGCAAAACAACTGTGAAACAGACACCCCCCATCCCACTCCAAGCAACAGGAACACCAAGTGAGGACAAGGAGAATGTGGAGAAGCCTTGGTTTACTGCAGGATAAACCCCATGCAGGCAACAACGTGTTTCATCTAATGCATGGAGCAATGGTGGGAACTCACATACATGGCCAAGTAACAGCAGAGGACGATGTGAAAAATACAGAACATGACCAGATCACTGGAGCACTGACATTGTAGGTTAGAGAGAGATCATCATGAAGAAAACACAGAAGCCAAAAAAGAAGAAGATATATATGGAAATAATTTTCTATTACACTCCTTATTCAGACCTTTAATAACATTTTAGCTCTGTGGCGTTCTCCCTGCATCTGAGATTGCTCTAAACATTTCAGGAGGTGGAAGCCTCTGTCAACTTTGGTACAACATGCTGGTCAAACATGAAGCTGCTTTATGTTGAATCAGACTATCCATCCCTCAAAAGAATGTGCCGAGTTCTACATCTGGATAACAAAAATGAGGAACACACATACTGGATGGGGGATATACTTCTGGGTAGCAGTGTGCGTGAACAAGATCTTGGGGTATGGATGGACCGTAAGTTAAATAGGAGCAGACAGTGTGATGCAGCGACAAAAAAGGCTAATGTGATCTTGGGGTGTATCAACAGAGGCATAACATCCAAATCACAAGATATCATGGTTCCGCTGTACACTGCGTTGGTCAGGCTGCACCTGGAGTATTGTGTGCAGTTCTGGAGGCCTCATTTCAAGAAGGATGTGGACAGAATGGAGCAGGTGCAGAGGAGAGCGACCAGGATGATTGGGGGCCTGGAGAGGAAAGACAGAGGGACTTGAGAATATTTAGTCTGGAGAAGAGGGGGTCGGGGGAGGACATGATTGCTCTCTTTAAGTATTTGAAGGGCTGTCACTTAGAGGAGGGCAGGGAGCTGTTCCTGTTGCCAGCAGAACATAGGAGTCACAATAATTAAGATAATAATAATTAAGATAATAATTAAGATGATGATAATAATAATAATAATAATAATAATAATAATAATAATAATAATAATAATAATAATAATAATTTAAATTAAGGGTGAAAAGATACTGGCTGGATATTAGGAAAAACATTTTTACAGTAAGAGTTGTGCAACAGTGGAATCAGCTGCACAGGGAGGTGGTGAACTCCCGCTCACTGGCAGTCATTAAGCAGCATCTGGACAAACACTCGTCAGGGATGCTTTAGGCTGATCCTGCATTGAGCAGGGGGTTGGAGTAGATGGCCTGTATGGTCCCTTCCAACTCTGTGATTCTATTATTCTAAAACCAGTATTGTCTACTCAGACTGGCAGCAGCTTTCCATGGCCTCAGGCCTTTCACATCACCTTCTACCTAACATCACCTACTACCTCATCCTTTAAATAGGGGATGCCGGGGATTGAACCTGGGACCTTCGGCATGCCAAGCAGAACCACTTCCACTGAACGACTGCCCCTCCCCCATGGCAACAGCAGGAAAAGCCCAATGAACAGGGATTCCTCTGGAAATCTGATCGCATTGCTCAGGGTCTCAATGATGGTGGTTCTCCCAATCATCACAAGTGGCTGCCCACTTGTGTATTTGAGATGCGTATCGTTTTCATGACAAAGCACATTTAAATCTACACTCATTGTGGGTGGATTCAGATCCCCACTATTACCTCTTTAGTTCATCCTCCATTGTAACAGGACAGGCATGGGACAGTGAGAACTCTTCCTCCCTCTCGCAAAATACTAGAACTCAAGTGCATCCAATTAAACTGATCCTCATGACAGTCAAAAGGAGATACTTCTTTACTCAGTGGGTGCGTTCAGACGGGGGCTTTAAAACGGAATCTGTGCCGGTTGCAATCGTTGTACTTACCGGCGTTCAGACGGCGAACATCTGTCTTCCCTCCCTAAACGTTGTAAAGCCCTTTAAACCGTTGCACTCTGCCACTAGGTCCCCAAGTGGTGGTATCCTGAGTGCAACGGTTGCATTCGCTTAACCCCGCCGTCTGATTGCTCTCCAACGTTGTACAGGCACTTCCGTTTGGAAGCCTGAGGCTTCCGCTTTTTGCCGGCCATTTCCCCCCCCAGGTTGCCGATATGCGCTTGGGCGAAGCTTTGCCCTGGCATTTATTTTTTTTAAATGGTGCTGGCCGAGCGGTCTCCCCAAAGTGCCATTTCCTGGAAGAGAAGGAAGAAGGAAGGTCGAAGCAATGAAGAACTGCACATGGAAGTCGTGGCGCTGACGACAGAAAGAGGATGCTCTGAGCCCGGGAAAGCCAAAACGCGGCTTGATTGCTGTGTGAACTCTGGTGTGCCGCAGAAGGGGGGGGGACACACCTGCCCAGCTCTTGCTGCCTTGGCGGTACTGGATTACAAGCGCTGGGCAGAGAGAGAAGGGACAGCCCAGCGTTTGGTATGGTTCCTGAATCTTCCACAGCAGGCTGCTTTCCTTGCCGTTTGCCTGCGTGCTTAGCCCCAGAGGGGGCAGCGAGGGAGGGGAGTTCATCAACGGCCGGCTGGTGGTGGGCCTGACTCGCTTGTCAAAAAATAAAATAAGAGGGAGGAGAGGTGGGAGGGGGCGACGTATTGCAAGGATCTCTGCTCCGCCTCCCCTGCAGGAGCCGGCAGCACTAGGATTCTCTCCGAGAGACTGCCTGCCCGGCCTGGCTTGGCTGCGCTCTTCACCCCCCCCTCCTTCCCGGCTCCATTTGCCCTGTCAAACAACAACAACACGTGCACATGCCTTGAGAGCCGAGCAGCAGCCAATTGGCTTCATTATAAGGAAGCCTGCCTAAGCGCATGTGCAAACTGTGTAAAAATTAAAAAAAAACGCCGAGGGGCTCTGCTGAGTGCCTGCTGTGAAGGAGGTAGTGTGATCGTGTTTCAGCCGGCATAAACTGCAACAGTTTATGCCGGCTAAAATGCCTCGTCTGAACGCACCCAGTGAGTGATTAGAACGAGGAATTCGCTGCCAGAGGATGGAGTGATGGCCACAAGCATAAAAGGGGATTAGATAGATTCATGGAGGAGAGGTCTATCAGTGGCTACTAGCTGTGGTGACTAAATGGAGCCTCCACATTCAGAGGCAGTCAACCTTGGAATCCCAGAGCCAGGAGGCAACATCAGGGGAAGGCCTCGGCCTCTGTGCCCTGTTGTTGGCCCTCTAGAGGAACTGGTTGGCCACTGTGTGAGACAGGAGCCTGGACTAGAAGGACCCCTGGCTCAATCCAGCAGGGCTCTTATGTTCTTATAACATTATCTATCGGAATGCATTCTATTCCATGACATTTTTATCCTGCCCTTCATCTACAGAGCTCAGGGCAGCATCCAAGGGCCTCCCCTCTTCTGTTGCACAACCACCCTGTGAGGCAGGTCCAGCTGAGTGACCTTCCCAACACTCTTTGTGACCCACATGAAACAGCCTCATGCTTTTCAGGCCACTGTGCCAAGAGTCCTCTCTCACCGATGGCCTTCAAGGGCTCCCATTCAGGCCCATTCACTTGACTCCCCCCCCCAAGCCCTGACATTCCTCCTCTTCCACTAGTTAATGGAAGACACCAGTTAATGACCCCATCTATTGATGGGCTCTACCATTTCACCTGCAGGTGGAGGGAGGACAGGACTGATTTTTTTTTTTTTTTAGTGTTGCTCTATATAAAATACTCTCTACAATTACAAAACTCCCTTACCAGGAGAAAGGTTAGCCTACAAGCCTCCATCCTGACACCTACAGGGAATGCTGGTGGGGCATCAACATTCAGACACTCACACATGGAAATGGTGCGGCCCAGCATCCGCTATTATCTCACATGTGGCTTCTGCACAAATGGGGGTTTATTTTCTCTTGGCTTCTTCTGCTCCATGAAATGAGACGGAGATTCCTGTGGGAGGGGCGTTCTCTGTTTAGCCTCCGTGCCACAAAAATGCCTCTGGTGCCCCAGCTTGAATTACAAGCCCAATGAATATCAAACCAACCACAGGCCACCTACACATTGAGAGGAGTCCATGATAATGTGAAATCATAGATTCTCCCATCTAGACATTTCCCAGTGGCAGAGCAGGTGAAAATTCCTATGATCATCAATGTAGCACAAGCTCCGGGCTTGTTAATTACAGCCACGGTTTAACTTACAGAAAAATCCACGCTAGCACAAATACCTTTAAAGTGCCACAGCAAGCTCGGGCCACAGCCACAAGTCAACACGGGCCAATCTTGCAGAATTCACACCCAAAAGCCATTTTGGAAAGTTTGTGCCACTGGTTATTAAGGGTATCGAAGATTCCCCCACTCACCCATCGGAGGCATTACTGGGATTTCTTCGGGAGCTTCTTCCTTGACATGCAAGACAGGAGAGATGTCTGTCATAGTGGAGATCTCGGTGGGCGACTGAGTCCTCAGAGCAAAGAGCTCCCGACTAGCCGGGCTACACTCCTTGGGCCCTTCCGGCATCGGCTCCTCCTCCGTGGAGCACTGAGAAATTGTGTCTGCTAGGGATGCCCCACGGTGACTGAGACTGGGCAGTCTGTCTGGAGGCGGGATGTTGGCATCATTAGCTAAGAGGTGGTCCAGCTGATCATAAAAAAGCCAAGCTAAATGCCCTTTGCCAGGGGAGTTGTTGGCCTTGGCGATCCTGTAGTCCCTCTTCAAGGTTTTGATCTTGGACCGGCACTCCAAGGCGGAACGCTTGTGGCCTCTCTTGGCCATCTTGCTGGCGACCACCTGAAAAGTTTCGATATTCCTGTGGCTCCTCTGAAGCTCCTGCTGGATCTCCCGCTCCCTCCAGATGACCAGGAGGTCAATGACCTCTGGGTAGGTCCACGTGGTGCCTCGGTACTGCCTGTAGGGAGCGATGGCCGGTTCTGAAGTTACACCACCTGTGGGGGAAGGGCGAAAAGAAAAGGCTCAGAGGAAGATGCTTGGTCATGCACAGTGACTACGATCTGGCAGGAAATACTTCTCTGTTTCTCTTTTCTCTAGCCCAGCAGGCAACTATGACAGGCTGGTCAGTAAGTTTAGAACTTTGCAGGCCGATGACTTGGGTGGGTTTCTAAGGTCACGTTCAAACTCACTCAACTACCCTTTTTATCTTTTTCACTGAGGGGCCTGGATAGCCCAGGCTAGCCCTATTTTATCAGATTTCGGAAGATAAGCAGGGCTGCCTGTGGTTCCTACTTGGACGGGAGACCAACAGGGAAGCCCAGGGCTGCTACAGAGGCAGACAATGGCAAACTGCTTCTGAATGTCTCTTGTCCTTGAAAACCCCTGTAAGCTGGCTGAGATTTGATGGGGGGAAAGGATGGGGGGGGAATACAAGGAAACAAGGGGGAAGAGCCATCTCAAGAGCTCAAGACGATGGTCCTCACTGATCCCCGTGAACTACGTCAGGACAAAAGATGGTGATTGACCAAGACTTCATGGCAAATAGGGATCCGAACCCTAGAAACTGCGAAGGATCCAGAGCAAGAATCACAGATCTTTCCCACACTCCCCCCCCCCCATTTCTGACTCCAGGGACGTTTATTCCTAGGGTCATGTATCCGCATGGACAAACAATGGCTTAGTAGACTGCAGTGAGGATCCCTGGGCAAACCGGCCTGGAGAAAAACTGCTCCCTAAACCCAAAGTGGTGACCAGCATTTCCCTGGGTGTGTAAGAAAGGGCCACGAGAACTAAGCACTGATGCAACCCTTCCTGCCCTCCCTCTCCCGATCTGCCCAAGTTCACAGAATCAGCATGGCTGTCAGATGGCCATCTAGCCTCTGTTTGCAAACCTCCCAGGAAGGAGAGCACACCGCCTCCCGAGGAAGCCTGTTCCACCGAGGAACTGATCTGACTGCCAGGAAGTTCTTCCTAATGTTTAGCCGAAAACTCTTCTGATTAAATTTCAATTTTGCAAGAATCACTGAAGCCTGAGATGCTTCGGGTGAGCCTGTGAGCGGTGCCTGCAAGGAGGGGTGCTGCCATCAAGTTCTGCCCCGCCACCCTTCTCAGGGGCTTAACTGAGTGACAGAGAGCATTTCTTCACATGCACAAGCTCCCAGGTTCAATTGGTGGCTTCCTCACTTAAAAGAATCGAGCACAAATATGTTTTTTGGGGGGGGATCCTTTGCTACCTAGGAGCCTGGAGACTGACAGCCAGTCAGAATACTGGATCTCGAGCCGGGCCCAAGTTGAGCCTCTTCCATCAGGCTACAGCCGCATATCATTGGATACTGGGCTCTTGCTGTGCGATAGCAGCCATTCATAACGGGACTGCCTCAGCCACAAGGGGGAAATGCAGTTGTGGATAAGTCCTGGAACGCAATGCCAGGGCAGCAGCCCACACTGTGTGGATGCAGCCCCTCTTTCCATACGGTACGTTGCCAGAGTTATTTACCAGGTATTTCGAATGTCCAGTCTTTAAACCCCAGCATTTCCTGACTTGGATAGGCCAGGCTAGCCTGATCTCCTTAGATCTCAGAAGCAAAGCAGGGTCGGCCTTGGTTAGTACTTGGATGAGAGATGACCAAGGGAGTCTAGGCTTGCGACAGAGAGGCAGGCAACGGCAAACCCTCTCTGACCATCTCTTGCCTTAGAAACCTACAGGGTCACCATAAGGCAGCTGCGACTTGACCGCACTTTCCACCACCACAGTGTTCCCTCTAAGCTGAGTTAACTGTGAGCTAGCTCACAGTTTTTTAGCCTCCGGCTCACACGTTTTTGTCTTAGCTCAGGAAGGAGGGCTCCAGAGCACACTAATTTGCGCAGCAGCCAAACGGCTCGCTCGCAGCTTTAATGCCAGCCGCTCACAAAGTAGGATTTTTGCTCACAAGACTCCACAGCTTGGAGGGAGCATTGCCGCAGACCACCATCTCAGGTCGCAAGATTGGGAAACACCTCTACCAAGCCTGCGGAAAGCTCCTGCCGGATAGGTCAGGCAGGACTGGGTTTCATGGGGCTTTGTTCCGACTCAGAGGAAAGGAGCTCCCCTACGAAACCTCCACATCCGGCAAGAATGAAACGGGTTCCACCCACAGGCAATAAGTCAAAATCTCGGATTTGCAAGATTTCTGTCTGAACACGTTTCAGCGTGGGGAGCTGAAGCAGACAGACCTGCCTTTCTTCAAACCCAGTATGATTCTTTAGCCTGGTTTAATTTTACTTCTGAGAGAGCTGTTTCACGCATTGTAGACTAGGCAAATTTCTTTTGTGTATTGCGAGCTGAAAAGCTCACCATAGTAAATCACCAGCACAGAAAAGCCCCACTTGATGGACCACTTGTTCTCGAGGCTTCAAGCTCTCTCTCACAGGCCAAGCAGCTCCTGTGTACCCTAAAAGATTTCTGTCAAAGGTAAAAAGGTCAGGGTTCCCTTGCTCGAAAGCCAGTCGAATCCGACTCTAGGGTTGCGGTGCTCATCTCCGTTTCAAAGCCGAAAAGCCAGCGCTGTCCGAAGACGTTTCCGTGGTCATGTGGCTGGCATGACTAAACACCAAGGTGCACGGAACGCTGTTACCTTCCCACTGAAGTGGTACCTATTTATCTACTTGCAATTTTTTACTTTCGAACTGCTACGTTGGCAGGAGCTGGAACTAGAGATGGGAGCTCACTCCATCATGCGGCACCCGGATCTCGAACTGCTGAACTACTGACCTTCCACAGCCTGCAGTTCAGCGTCTTAACCACTTGAGCCACCGCAGCTGTCAAAAGGGTATGCCTTATCAAGCCTCAGTTCCTTCCAGGGGAAAGGGTGCTCCTCACCTGACTTGTTTCCAGGCAGGATCCGCAGCTCTCTGGAAGCCTGATCGCTTGGGATCCACGGCTCTTCCCCTGGCTCAATCTTACAGATCAGCTCCGGTTCATCGACAGGTAACCCTGCACAAGAGTGAACGAAAAAGCGACAAGGTTGCTGCAACCCATTTCCAGCATGGTGAGAAGGTATCAACCTCCACCGCCTCATCCCAAGCCCGAAAGACGAAGACGTTTTGCCATAACAAGCATGGAGATGGATCCTTACCCATCAAGGTCACAGGCGTAAAGTTATTCTGCATGGCGTCAAGTTTTTTTGGTTCAGGCTCAGCAAGGCTCTCTGGGGAAGCCCACCGCTGCTGCCTCGGGGGCCACCACCATGCAGGCTGACACACGGCGCTCAAAGTCGGATCTCCCAGTTTTGTCCTGGGAACTGTAGGGGTAGAAACAAGCAAAAAGGGGGGGGGGGAGGAGAGAGAATAACTGGTCAGGCTGCTGTACATTACATTTCATCCTATTTTTACGTAGGGATCTGATCGATGCCAGGATACAAAGGAGCTCCATGTGAGCTGTTTGGAGCATCCAAAGAGCTAAAAACAACAAACGCATTATGTCTGATATGAATTTAAAATATTTGTGTACCACCACCAGATGTGTTCAAGGTGGTTCCCATTAAAACACATAAAACCCATGATACACAAATCACTAACAATGGCTGAGATCCCATGGAACATTTCTGGAGATGGGAGGGATTTGTGTCAGTAGAAACAGAGAGCCAGTCTGGTGTAGTGGTTAAATGCGCGAACTCTAATCTGGGAGAACCGGGTTTGATTCCCCACTCCTCCACTTGCACCTGGCTGGATGACCTTGGGGAAGCCATAGTTCTGATAAGAGCTGTTCTTGAAAAAGAGCAGTTTATGTCAAGAGCTCTCTCAGCCCCACCCACCTCACAGGGTGTCTGTTGTGGGGAGGGGAAGGGAAAGGAGATTGTAAGCTGCTCTGAGACTCCTTTGGGTAGTGAAGGGCGGGGTATAAATCCAATCTCTTCTTTTTCTCTTCTTCTTCTCATCTTCCCCCTCTCGCCGCAACCTAAAATGCCCTTGAAATCCTGCTACAGGAGAACAAGGGTTGCCCCTCCATGAACAGCATGTGGGAGGAGTCAGGGGGTCTGCAGTGGGGAGGGAGACACACATCAAAAATCTGTGGGATCCAACCCATAATAGGACAAGCAACATAAACAGCATAGATCCATCACTGTAAAACAACAGCTTTAAAAGGAAAAAAAGTTGGTGGTGTTTTTGTTTTTTAAAAAAGGGTCTAAAACCTTGATCTTAATACATATCAGCTTAGAAAGACCAACCCACCAATTATAAAAGCCCAGGTGAATCCTTTTAAAATCCCGGGTGCCACAGAAGCTAGCAAACTGGCACCAGGCAGGTGTGGTGGGAGAAAAGGCCATCAAGTCGCAGCTGACTTAGGGTGACCCCACAAGGGGTCTTTCCAAGGCAAGAGGCATTCAGAGGTGGCTTTTGCCATTGCCTGCCTGCCTTTGCACAGTGACCCTGGGCTTCCTTGGACAGGTCTCCCATCCAAATACTGACCAGGGCTGACCCTGCTTAGCTCCCAAGATCTGATGAGACTGGGCAAGCCTGGGCCATCCAGGGCAGGGCAGGGTCTGAGGATGGGAGGCACACAAATCAGAGCCTCACTCGATACTCCTAAAACCTGGAGGGGCTCCTACAGGCAGTCCTTTACAGACCTTGGGGGGCAGACCATGCAGGCCTGTAAGAGGGAAGCACCAGCCCTTTGAATTGAGCCTGAGAATGGCCAGGAAGCCAGTCAGATTCTTGGGAGTACGGGGGGGGGGGGGTATGCAAAGCTCCGTGATCCGTACCCACCAACAATGCTCCCTCTAAGCTGTGGAGTCTTGTGAGCAAAAAATTCTACTTTGTGAGCTACTGGCTTGAAAGCTCGGAGCGAGCAGTTTGGCTACTGCATACATTAGTTTGCTCTGGAGCCACCCTTCCTGAGCTAAGGCAAAAATCTGTGAGCTGGAGGCTAAAAAACTATGAGCTAGTTCACACTAACTCAGCTTAGAGGGAACACTGCCTACCAGCAATCTGGCTGCTATGTCCAGTTTTCAAAGGCTGCCCCACAACCCGAAACATTTCCAGTGTTATTTTGGACTTCATCTTAAAACCACGGGGGGGGGGGGGGGGGCAAAAGGGGAAACGGGGGGGAGCAAAGAGCTGCAGAAGTGAGAATTAGCCCAGAGATAGAATCACCTGTGTGACAGCCAGCGCCCCTCCAAGCACCACCTCTCTCCATCCGGGCCACCCTGCCAAGAGCAGAAAACAGTCGAGTTTCCCAACCCCAGCAATTTTAGAGATGCTTTTTCCCCAGGTGGCTGCCTTGAAGGGCTACGAAAGCCTGCAAAACCAGTCTGAACAGAGACCACGGGGAAAAACAACCAGCGAGGACTGCACACCGGATTGAGCAACAGCAGTTGAGACATCACCTCACGAAAAGTGAGCGTCTGAACACCGGAGCTGTCCCTCCTTGCAGAAATCAGAACTGGCTGCCCTACAGCGCAGAACCCTGACCCGTTCTTCAAACCAAAAACCGGTTGCCTAGACACTGGGTGCAAGAATAGAGACATTTGCAGAGGAAAGTATACGGGACAAGAGTGCGTGTGCATCTCTAACAGCAATGCAATTTCAAATCCTCCACCCCTCCACACGAAGTCTAGCGATCAACATAAACTTAAAATGAAGCCTTCAGTGGGGGAGGGAGGGGGGAATCAAACCTACATACTTTCCCCCCTTTTTTGGAGAGGCCAAGCTAGCAGGAGAAAGCCATCCTGTGCACACTCATCTTCAATCACACCGTTTTGCAGGTTTGGGTCAATGCTTCAAAAAAGACAAAACCCACCCTGTAGATCTTGTTTAGCCAGGACAAACAAGCAATGCTGTCTCTACTGTACTAAATGAATGAATGAATGGATGGCTTGTCTACAAGCCACATCCGAAGAGGTGGGTAGGAAAGACAGAAATGGGGGAGGGAGGTGGGGCGACAGAAAAGGGGGGCACCTACTGGATGGAGGCAGAGGATGCCTCCTGGAGCAAGACGCCAGCGTCTCACCCAGGAAAAGGAAAGGGTGGAGGGGGCACACATCTCCCTTTCCCCTCTCTCTTTAGAGACTCTGCATAAAAGAGGAACACACACACATGTTCTCCTTCCCTCCTCCAGCAGAAGACCAGATAATCCATCCGGATGGATGTAGCCAAAGATCCGGTAAAGTTTTTATTTTTAAAAAAGACCCCCAGCGGAACGACCAAGGCGAGGGAAACTCCCATCTCGCATACCGACTTACCTTCTCCACTCCTCCCTCTCCAGCTTAGCAGCCCCTCGCAAGAAAGGACCTCCGACCCGTCCGGGGGCGGGGGGGGGGGGGGGGGGGGGGGGGGGGGGGGGGGGAGGAATCCCTGTCCCTTTGGGAACAGGATGGGAAGGAGACGCAGATTTGGTTTCCTTTCGCGTGGGCCCTTAAAAGAGGCTGGGTTTCTGGGGAACCCACAGTGTATTATTTATTTATTATTGTTCTTATCAAGTCAAGAAGACTTGCTATTGTTTTCTCTCGTGTCCTGCTAGGTGATCCACGGAGGTTCTAGCAGGAAGAAGAAGAAAAGAAGCAGGAACGACGAGGGCACGGATTGCAGCGCACATGAGAACTTTCAAGGCAGAGATATATTGGGGGGGGGGGGGGGAGGGGGGGGGGGGAAGAAACCCCAGCTGCACCCGCGCGATTATTCAGGTTGGCAACCAAACTCTGCCGCACTTCCTGCTGGAGGAAGCGCTGGGCCAGCTGGATGCCCAGGATGACTCACACGTCGCCCACCTCCTCCCAGGTCCTAGAGACGTACCTTTTTCGCCTCCCAGAGTTTAAACCCAGAGGGGCGCGTTCGACCATGCGCTTCACTTGGGATGAAGTCTTGGGGTTTTTGCAATGGCTGCGGCGGCTTCCGAGGAAGTGGTCAAGAAGGCTTCGGAGCACGTCCCCACTCAGAGCACAAACGTTTTAAAAAAAACCAAAAATCCTCTTACTTTTAGCTGTCGTGGCTTCCCTTGCAGGGAATTTCGGAGATTGTAGTTTCGATGAGCGGTCTGGCTCTGCTAGAGAAGTCGCCGTAACGGCCTCCCGAAACTACAATTCCCAGGGTGCCTCGGGAGAAGTTCGTACTAGCTCAACCAGTTTTGGAACCAGATTGAGTTTGTAGTGTGTATGCTGAGAGGAACAATCAGGGAACCAACGCCTTGAAATGGGGCTTAAGACCAGGACGTTACACTTAAGGAGAAGAAAGTTTGTGGGAAGCTGAATCCACAAACCAAAATCCCTGCAATACCTTTTATTCAGACTAGCTAGAATAGCACAACACACTCTGCAAGCCTTGGTTCTCCAGAAATCTTTATCAGGCTGGATATTTTTAAAAAAAGAAAGGAAAGGTGATTTTTGTTTTGCTTTTGCTTTTGAATATCCAACCTATTGAAGAGTTCTGGAGAACACGAAACCTTACCTTGTGCCTTGGCCAATGTTCCCTCTAAGCTGTGGAGTCTTGTGAGCAAAAATTCTACTTTGTGAGCTACTGGCAATACAGTTGTGAGCAAGCAAATTGGCTGCTGTATAAATTAGTTTGCTCTGGAGCCATCCTTCCTGAACTAAGGCAATGTGTGAACGGGAGGCTAAAAAACTGTGAACTAGCTCACACTCACTCAGCTTAGAGGGGACACTGGTCTTGGCTGCATTTAATAAAAGGTGTCCCTGAATGTTATGCCTGACTTTGGTTCTCCACTTTTGGGTAGGGAAGGGAGAATCTGTGAGAATGAAGTGTGTGTTTTAATGTGCTTTATGGATCCTGGAAGGTACATACCAAAAAAAAAGTATTTTGAAACATAATTAATGTAGAGTTCCTGAGATAAACCTACCACCACCCTGATTCTGTTTCCCTCCCCCCATCAAGTCAAGCTAACTCCTGGCAACCCCTAGTGGGTCTTGGAGACAAGGGATGTTGTGAGGTGGCTTGCCATCACCTGCCTCATGACCCTGGTATTCCTTGGAGGTCTCCCCCTCCAGGTACTGGCCAGAGCTTAGCTTCTGAGATCTGACGAAGTCAAATTTGCCTGGGCTATCCAGGTCACGGTCTTCTGATTTTTAAGAGAAAAGAAACAGCCACATTAGTTTGTTGTAGCAAAATAAAATAAAAGTCCAGCGCCGGCTTAAAGACGATCAACACATATTTATTTCAATGATTTCATTTCAACATGAGCTTTTGTGTTTCATAACAGCCCAACACAGAGAAATTTAGCAGGAGAAATTTTCTGCACTGTTTTATACGCTTCTTGGAAAACACGAGCCCACAGCCCCCGTTCACTCTAAATGGCAGCCGTGCACCCTGGGAGACCGTGCATGAGACATGATGCTCCCATTGTGAAGGTGGGAGTGCTGAATCAGGGTTGCCTGGAGAAAAACAGCCTGTACCTTTCATAGAAACTTAAAGTATGGGTGGGGTTGCCAACCTCCAGGTAGTGGCTGGACATCTCCTGAGAGTAATCTCCAGTGACAGGATCGGTTTACCTGGAGAAATTGGCTACTTTGGTAGGTCGACTCTGTGGCATTATACCCAACTGAGGTCCAGTCCACTCCGGTCCCCTCCCCTAACCCCAGCTGCCCCAGGCTCTAGTCCCAAAATCTCCAGGAATTTCCCAACCCAGAGCCAGCAACCCTATTTCTGGGAATGGGCGACTGAAACTTTTTATGGCATGGCGGTAGATAACAGTATCCAGTAAATTACATCCCGTTAAGCTTCTGTTAAACAGACTAGGTATTTTTCTGTAGGCCTGTTGGCAAGCCTTGCTCCGAAACTCAACAGCTGGAAAATGCCATTGTGTGGTTGTAACCAAAGCAAACTGGCAGCCGGTGCAGATATTTAGCACGGGCACTGGCGAGACTCAGGTAATAACCCGCATGCAGACACCACTGTGACAGTAATACGTCTGACCATCCCTTGTTCGTTCAGATTGCCCTTCTAGGAAATAACTTCTTCTTTGAGGTGTGTATTCTGAGTGTCTTGGAGGAATGGTCCCTGCTTCCCTTCAGGCTATCTTCACGTCAGAAAAGGCAAAAGAACTCCTGTAAGGGATCGAGAAGTACTGTCAGAATTAGTTTTGGAGAAGATGCCAAGCCTGTAAGTGGGGCTGCCAACCTCCAGGCTGGGCCTGGAGATCTAGAGATCACAACTGACCTCCAGACTACTGAGATCACCTCCCTTGAAGAAAATTGTTGCTTTGGTGGGGGGTGGGGGGTGGACTGCATGGCATTATACTCTGCCAAGGTCCCTCCCCAAACCCTGCCCTCCCTAGCGTCCACCTCTACATTTCCAGGAATTTTCTGACCCAAAGTTGGCAAGGATACCTGTAAGTTCCAACAGCTTGGATGAGTTCCAGCTCTCTAGATCTGGAGCTTGTTTTCAACATCGGGTTTCAATCAAGGGACATGCAAAGTTCTGAGGAAGAAGACCTTGCCTCTGGGCAGTCTGACAGAGAGCTGAGCTACTATTTTTGGCAACTAACTTTGCGATGCTGCCAATTAAGTTATGTTTGGATAGAAAATTGCCTCAGAGGAGCCACAAGGTGGCAGCAGAGTGGTAAAAGAAGATAAATTGGTGCTCTCTTTCTAGTTTACAAAGCTTGTATGTGTTGTGTTTCAGTTAAAACCTCAGGCAAAGTGAATTTACTGTGAAAAGATAGAGAACAATCAATTTCCATGTATCCCTTCATCCAAACTCTCTTCCCAGATAGGGAACTCCAGACTATTTCGTCATCAGACCCACCATGATGTTTTCTTCCACAGGACCCCATTCCGCACTTTATATATGTACGCATTGAAAAGTACTGGTATGTTATTTATAGTCAGCCTTTCTCTCCCCGACTCAAGATGGATTACCTGGTCAAATACAACCAAAAGCACAGGACATCCAGTAAACATTGAAATGGGATTTGGACTGCAGTAGTCTGAAACAGAGCTGGAACAAAGCAGAAGCATTTAAACCACTATGGGTGTGTTCAGACGGGGCATTTATATAAACTGCTGCGGTTCCAACCAGTGCAATTTGACCCGGAAGAAATGCAATCACACTCACCTCCTGACTGCGCAGCACATCACGCTATGCCTGTTCACACTACCGACACGCAGCAGTGCATGTCGGCAGTTTTTTAAAACATTTTTTTACATTTTGCACATGCGCATAGGCAGCCATCCACAGAGTTGAGATCTTCGCGCAGGCGCAGAACACCCCATCCCAAAAAGCGTGCCCTGAAGCGAAGACATCCCTTTAAATTTTTACTCTGAAACTGGCCTCCGTGAGGTCCCGGACTCGTCTAAAGCCTTACACTAGGCTTCACCCAAGCACACATCGAGGACGCTTTTAAAAAAGCCAGCCGAAAAGCAGAAGCCTCAGGCTTCTGAACGGAAGTGGCTAGACACCGGCGGAAAGCGATCAGACGGGGATAATGTGGTTGGAACCGGTGCACTCAGGATACCACCACTTGGGGACCTAGAAGCAGAATACAACGGTTAAAGGCCGTTTGCAACTGTTAGGGACGGAAGGCAGATGTTCACCATGTGATCGCCTGTAAGTACACCGATTCCAACCGGCATCTATACCGGCATAAATGCCAACTAACAATATAATTAAAAGATGACATAATGTTCTTAGTAGGAGGAAACACCTGCCTGCTGTTAGCAGCTTTCACTTTGGACGGCAGGTCTTTCCTACTAAAAACGTTAAGCTACATGCCCATTTTGTAAAAACATCTAGTGGCTTCCCATTAGAAAGAATTGATGTGGGGAAGCTGTACAGAGCTTAAAAAAAAAAACTTGTGGAGAGAGATGTCTTTTAGGACGTAATGAGGGATATAATACATCCAGGACCTTGTGATCTATTCACACAGATCTGGAAAGTTTCACTGGACATTTTCTCTCTCTCTCTCTTGTTCTATTGTTTGTCCTGCTCCAACAGAGGTGGTTGTTGTTGTTCACTGTAGAATGTTTTGTACTTAGATAATTAAATGTACACAAGTATGAGTTGAACTTAACAACTGTGTTTGTACGTATATATACTGTTGAGTGTTGTTGGTTCTTTATGTATGCTATCATTTTTGGCTTGGACATCTATGTGTGCTTTTGGGATCTGAAACGGTGGTGCACTCAACCATGAAGACTGAAAATCCCATCTCACTCCTTCGATTTGCCTCCTCTTGGATTTTGTGAGCTCGGAGGGCTTTGAGGAGATTGGTTTCCTTCTTTCCCCAGTTTCACTGGGGCATGGTTGGTCTTCAAATGCCATCTCCCTTTGAAGCACTGCTGTTCTTCC